TCAAAAAATGACAGTAGCAGTGAAACAATTCATGCAAATAAATGAATGATTTACAGTACGATGTGTCTGCGCTTAATACGTAAATTACGACACCAATACTGACGTTATATTTTCTTGGCGCGACACAACATCTTTGCGAACAAGGCAATGTGCAAGGCAATGCGTCGGTTCGCATTTAAACAGAGCGACAAATGAACGAAGTCATCGTGAATCGACCTTCTAGACGCCACTCGTCGTTACGAGCGAATGCTTAATGAATAACACGCCGATCCGAAGGAGCACCCTCTCGGCTAAGTCGGTATCGTCGAGAGGGCCGCGTTAATCATCGATTAACAGCGATCCATTCGCTCCGAGTGTGCAACGATGTTCTGCTCGACGACGACAGTGACTCAGCTAGTGATGATTCGCTCACTCAGGTCGGGACCGGAAATGCAAAGCGCTTCAAGCATCAACGCGGACGGATTCCTATTCCGAGTGTCATATCCTGGGAAGCTTTGTTGCAGAGAGTCGCGAAACCAAATACAATAGAGTTTTAAGAAAGGGAAAAAAAGACAGAAAATTGAAAAGGATATATCTATTGTTAAAGTCTTATATCTTTTGTTAAAAATTATATGGTAGTTTATCTATTTCATCACTACATTTCTATTAAAATATTCCGAAGAATTACGAGAATTGTAAGACAAAAGATTTCAGAGAATTTACACTTCGATAGGAATCTTAATTATGAGACAACTCGCGGAAAACGAAAGACATATAGCACACGGGTGCTGAAAGGGTTGAGATTACTGTAAGAAATCATCGAATGGCGAAAGAGAGATAAGATCCGCGGCTTTCAGTACGCTGAAGTACCAACTGGTAACGTCAAGGTCTTTTTGTCGGTACCTTCACGGCCTGTCGAGCATTCCGAGAAGAACGAGAAAATAGCGAGTTCTATAGTAAGACTCGAACGCGACTACACAACGCCAGTACTAAATAAAGTCAATGTTTCGTTATAATTATGCAGCTTATTTCGCAAAACAGATTTGAGAATATTTCGTTTTAATTTAGCTGAAAAGCGCAGAGTAGCCTCCGGCCACGATGTTGTGCAAAACCATCTTATACGAGAATCGTTTTTAACGGGTAGTTTTGAGGGCAGCATTCCGCTACTTGATGATAACCGCTTGTCAAAAATGATTTGCAGCGGAGAAACGTGGAATCTCGGAGTTACGATTTGAGGAAGAGAAGTGATATATGTATACGCGCGATGGTGCACTGCGAGATAGGTTTAGTCTCCGAGAGAAAACGCGCGCGCAGAACAGAGCGTGGTGTACGCATCGCCGACATAAAGATTATACGTCTCTATTCCGTCTCCGCCGCGAGTGCGATTAACTATTTTCCCACCACGTTACATATCGCTCGGGCACGCTGACATTACTCATTTGCAGCTGGCGGCTTTTTCATGCAGCTGCAAGCGCAGCGCGCGCTCGTACGAAAGCTCGGCAGATTTAACCATCTTGGAGATTTATGCTGATGATATACGTTCGTATAAGTATTATGTAATTACATTATAATATTATTTTACGTCTTTCTTCTCTTCTCGCGCCCCCCCCCCCATTCTCTCCCTTTAATATCAAATATTGCAAAAGGAATTTATTTTATTATTTTTACGTACATATACATAAATATTGCGGTATTTCTATGCGTTGCAGGTTGCAGATATAAGGAAACGCGAGGAGAATTTCACAATGCGATCGATTTAACGTTAAGGCAGACGTACTTTTTTTGGGAAGATCCAACGTGCGCTCCGCCTCACATGTGACCGGAAAGAATAAATAAATCGTAATGTAAATCCACATAAATCCTTCGCACGGTCCTGCGCCGCCATCGCATTTACATTCAACATACTCCCATAAATTTTTATCGACTGCATTGACGAACTGGCGATCCCCTCCCCCGAGTCCAACAATGGACATAAATTCCATGGCGCCCTTTGTTAGGACACTTCCATTCTCGCTGGAGACCTCCTTTTTACACACGAGGGATATTATTTATACTCATGTCGAACTGCGGTGGGACCAATCCCGACGATTCATCATTTAATAACTCTCTATAATAATCGGACAGGAATATCCTCAGAGGTTAAAATTTAATTTAAACTTCAATCGATACGAATGTCCCGTTTATCTGAAGAAAGAAAAAACGGGATCAAAATCTCAGTCACTCATCTATCGATAGGACGAATCGATTAAAGCTAAAGTTTATATTTATAATTTTTCTGTTTAAATTTAACGTCTTATTCTACTTAAAAAGTAAAGCTCCTTTATTGAAATATTCCAAACTTAACAACAGAATCGGATTTATCACTTATAATCCATATTCTTTTGTACTACTCTTTTGTAATTTTTTCAAAGTGATAAATAAATAATACAAGAATATTAGTACTAATTCAGTTTATCGCGTAGCCACGATGACAATAGGAAAGGAAGAATTATCAGATGAGTCAAAAATGGTGCACAGCAACCGTTCTAATGTTAATAAGAGTTATGTGTTCGAAAATGGTAGCTGGCAATTGCAGCTCATTTACAATGAATAAGTCACCGAGACGCACGTGGCGGTTTACGTAATTACGTTCGCGCTTTGGAAAGGTCGTCGATACAAAGAAACTCGCGTGATTCATCCCGTCCTTCCCAGCGTAAACGCGGTGACTGTCATGCTGTAATTTTCGCAATGGAATTTACTACGAGATGTTATTTTACAAGGAATGCCAGAATAAAATAAGTTTACGACTGTAGCCAACTCTGTTGTTTTCCCCGTGTACCTTTTTTTTTTATATCTCGTTTCCTGTTGCGACGATGAGTCGTTCTGAACAACGAAACACTGTTCTGAGAGACGCGTTAAAAGTTGCAATCCAGGAAACGAAGAAATATAAAATATTTTTAAAAACCCGATTATATACATATTGAACGTACTATATGCAAATTGCATTGAATTGTATTATATGCAAATAAAATGTTTCAAATACATGATTTTAATATGTGCAATGCGGATCACATATCTTTTATTTTAACTATTCTATATTACATTATTTTCCCGATAAGCAGTCAAACTTGTTTATCAATTTCCGATATTAAAGATAAAACGATCCTTTTTTGCACATAATCCTTTGACCGTTGACGGTCATTAATGAACATTGCTGATGGTTGCACAGTATTTATATTCACGTAATTAACGGTGAAATATGTATATCAAACAAAAATTGCTCCTCATGGAAAATCTATCTGGTATATTGCAAATAAAATCACGAAGCGTTAGATTTTTCATCTCTGACTTTATACATATGTTAATGTGAAAAATGTAAGCTCGAAAATATCAGTTTCGAGATTAAAAATGAAATTACGCAGTCTGCGTAATGTGACATATAAGGATTAATTTGATGTACTAGTGCAGATTTTGTTTGAAAAACGTGCGCGTAATACAGTAGTGCAACATAGAATATTCATGAAAATGTTAAAATGTTTAGACAGAAAAATAACATAAAATCATAAACCATAAGAAAATATATGTAACTTAACTAGTTTTGCTATTTAAACAGGACTCGCCAAGGGATCTGTTCTCGCAATAGCAACGCGACGTTACAACGCGAAGGAATTTTGTTCTGCGGCAAGAATTCCCCGAAGAAATTGGCGAATCTCACATCCCACGCGAACGATGGCCACCATGCGCTCTGACAAAATGAAATTACACGACAATGACGTTGCTTGTCGCGTGATCATGAAAATGCAATGCACATCGTAATGTGTGATACCGATTAAAACGTACCGAATGATTCATCGATCGATGCGTCATACAGGAATCGAGCGTCAATCTATCGATCATCAAATTTGATTGTGCCAAAAAAGTTTCTCTCATTATAAATTGCCACCGTACAATTAAGTAATTTTGTTCCCGATGCCATTTTTATATCAACATGTTATTTTAATATGCCATTTAATTTAATTTATTCTTAATTGAATTTATTCTAAAAAATTCCCAAAAAATTTTTATTTCCTCCCTTCAAAAAAAAAAATGGAATTGACGAATACCGCGTCTGTTAATAGATTGCCAATTACGCGTTAACTGATATTCAATAACAATTTATTAAAATATCAAATTCATAAATCAAGCATTATTCAAATTCTTTCTCTCATTCTCTTTCGCTCTAACGAGTCATAATTTGATATTGCGGGTATACGATGTTCTCAAATATAATTTGCGTTTGCGTTAATTTTACTAATATCTCACTTTCAACTATCTATTTATACACAGGAAATGAACGTACCTGGAGTTATTTATAAAGAAATCGTGGAGATAATTTAATTATCTGAACGTGACATATTAAAAATAGCGCGCTATCATTAAAAAATTAAAATTTTATGTTGTATATCGAGAATGCAAATTATGACTAAAGCACGGAGAAACGAAGCTTTAACGGTTAATGTTTACGAAACGTGAATAATATATATATCACAGTTGCCGCGTGAATTTAGCCGCGGATCTTTTAAAGTTCAAAACGAAGAAAAAAATTACATTACGGCACATGAGAATAAATAGTATACATTTCGTATCGCTTCGGCACTGGCAAACGCATCAGTATGATATATACATATATATGTATCAAACGTATATATAATATATATATATATCAAAAATGAGATATAGATCATATAAAACAACGAAGCGCAGGAGCTAATCGAACGACCTTGAAAACAATGCTCCGAAAAAGACCAATGCGACTTTTCTTCTTAACGACACTTTGTCGTCGCAGTCTTGGCGGTGTTTTTGTTTACTTCGACGTAAAATCAAAACACACGATATGTGCAGTTACGTGCGATTGTAATATATATAACACGCGCATACAGCAACGTGAGAGATCAGCTGGAAGCTGTTAAGTGTGTCACCGCGAGGAAAAGTTAACGAAAACTCCGTAACGTAACACGCGAGGACGGGAGCAAAGATTCACAAAAACATTCGGCGTGACTCACCTTGACTCTCGGCGTACGCGGCAGGGACGAGGATCGCCAGCAGCAACGTCAGAAGGACCAGCACCAGTTTGCACCTCACTGTCGCACCGCCGCCGCCGCCGCCGCCGCCGCCGTCACCACTACCGTTGTCGACGGCGACGACGCGTCGCGGATCGGCGCGCCGGGAATCGCGCGCCATGTTCCTGAGACTCGGACACCGCTGGGCTGGCTCGGCTGCCTGGACGCGTTGACCGCGGCTCACGCGAACGTCATGACAACACGATGCTCCTCACGGGCACGACGCACGCTCCTCGCACGTTGGCAGTCTCGAGTCTGTCGCTCGCGCACGCACACACCACACTCACGTTACCGACCACCCAGCCCGACTGGCTCCGAACGCGCAGCGGCAGACCGTTGCGACACCTCTGAAGTTGGCCGACCGCCCTCTTCCCCCACTATGGCGGCGTCGAGTCACGGCGCGGCGGAAACGACCGAGCGCGCGCGGATCGCGAGCGCACCCATAACGCACGGAATTCAAACGCGTATTCGTTGACATGTATTACTTTTTGTAATTGATAATCCGTGAAAAAAATGTTTCCATTCACGCATTTGATGATATTAGAGACTAGAGACTCGGCTTTAAGAATTTAAATTTTTAGAGACTGCAGTTTTCTGAAGAAATATCGTATCCTTATTATCATTTTTCAAATAAAACTATACATAATATTAAATCTAGATTTAGTGTAAATATTTATTGTAGGGAAAATAAGATAAAATATCATGAATTTTTTAACAGTTAATGAAATTTACGCTTGTATATACTTTGATGTATGTATATAAAACACATAATGAATATTAATCGATAAAAGAATATTTTAAGCACAATAGATTTTTTTATGCCTATATATTGCGATAAACCACTTACCTATTGCTTTTATTCGATACTGCTAATATATAAAGAAAAAAAGAGCTTAAAAAAATATTGAAACGTTAGTAACGATAGGCGCGGTTTCAATGCGGTATCGATCAAACTTTATGGTTGGATGGTTTTGTTTGAGTTCACGATTGCAGCAGGTAAAAATTCTTAAATCAGGAGAAGACTATTTTACTTGCCTCTTATAATGGAAAACGTGCAAAAAGAATTGACGAAAAGAATTATAAACGAATGTAAAGCAAGACAGACATCAGTGACTAAGGATTTGGCTTCGTTCTTGGTAATTTAATATTTTAGTAACCAATAAGATATATATATATTATTGAAACAAGCAAGATTCTAAGCAACAATTACAAGCAGTGCTCTCAAAAAAACTTTTAGCTTTCTCTTTATCAATTAAATCCAGCGTACCGAAAAGAAAACGACGAGGAAAATGTGAAAGAGGTCCAAGCTATAACGGAGAGGCTATGTGACCAAAGCCGACCCAGTCTTGTAACTTTGAAAAATCAGCTGTACTTCGCTAAGCATTATCATGACAGAGGTAAAAGCGTGTTTGAATGTTATTTCTATACTTACGTACGAATCATTATCACACTTTCGTACTTCGCTCAGACGAAACTGTCAAAAGGCATCGATTACGACTGCACCAAAAAACCAGACCTTTGGTCGCCGAAATTTGCGAAACTAATAAACTGGAGAGTGGGAAGGATACGGAAAAATTGTATCAGAAAATATTAGCAGTGATAACGGTTCTGAGCGGTCTAGGAAGTCCCACAGTCTCATCGGTTCTGAGGTAATTATCACGTTTATGTAAATTTAATAACGATTTCGATAACAACTCGGAATTAAATAAAATCAAGCAAGATCAATAACAGTTTCTATCTCACATTTCTATATTCTCGAGCATGAATAATTTATCTTGCACTAAATATAGCATTATCACCGTCACGAATAAAAGACAATTTTTTCATCTATACGAACCGAAGTCTGCTCTAAACAAAAATTATATACACGGATATATTTATATATGAAATTATTATATTCAATTCCTCGTAAAATCTTCGTATAAAATTTGATAATATTATATAAAGATATATTTTACATTAGGGAGGTTTCGGTGGCGTTGCAGAGCGTCTTCCAGGCTTCCGAGCTGGCTCACTACGTAACTTTGCCGAAACGAGAGAAAGAGGAGCAGCTGATGGAGTTGATGTGTCTAGTCGCGGGGATCCGTCTATTTAATAGAGATTGTCAACGCGGTGGCGAGGGGATCGACGATCGTAAGAGCGTGGAATAATTTTTAATTCGCCCGATGATGACAGCGTAAATTCAAATGACCTTACATGGGGACGATATCGTGAAAGATGAAATTACGCGAACGCTCCCCACGTTGCAAGAATAATCGGCGATAATTGTTTTTGTTTAGTGCCGAGCATTCTACAAGAAGCTCTAACCAAGACCCGTAATTCTATTCTCGAACTGCTGGAGCCGCTAATGACCAAGATATACAAGTTCACGGCCGTTGTGGAAAACGCGATCACGCGCATGTCGATCGACCCCTCGGATGCTGCACGTGGCATCTCGACGGAAGCGGCATCCGACGCGGAAGAAAAGATTGAGTGGGCCATCGAAATGTTAACGGCCAGTCGTCAGCAGGAAATCTACATTAGGTACTTCTCGAAAGAGAAATGATATATTTGGAAGAGAAATAATTGACAATTGATGGGATTTCTAATACAATCTTGTCGTAGAAAGCTGCTGAGTGATGTGGAGCGTAGCGAGAATGCGGTGAAGAACTTGATGGAGCGTCTTCAAGCGCGGCTCTTTAAACTTCACGACACTGTTCGATACAGAACGGCTATCCCTACTACTCAAGTTTACGTAAATATGACTGCTTGAAAAAATAAATTATAGTTGATGCTCGATAAAATGTTTACTAGCACCAGTCATTTGCAGAAATTGAAAGTTATGAAATCCCGTATAAATGATTTTAATAACAATAATATAATTTCGTTTAAACTTATTTTCATATAAGTCTGATATTATTGTTCCGTTGGAACAATTAACTCGTTTATTAAAATTTATTTTATGTTAGCGAAATTTTATGACAAAATAATGTTTCTTTGAAATTCGGAAAATTATAATTAAACTTCATTAGAATAAAATATATATATAATTGTTACATAAAATATACAATTATTGAAATGTCCCCAATGAACGTAATCATATTACGATTAATAATGTAAGTATATTCTGCCTACCAGCCGCAATTTATTGATCTGGCGGATATATGGATGGGTCTGCAAGATGAGGTGATCATTTTGAGTAGCGTTAACAACTTCCTGTGGGAATTACAGAGTTTGAGCAATAAGGTATTAATGCATGCGTTCGCCTGTTATCGATCTAACGTACGTTCAAAGTATATATTCAGAACGATTTATGTTATAGACTGTAAATATTTACGATCAGTCGAAGTTAGGAGATATAGCTGAGGGCGTGGATATTTTAACCGATGCTGAAAGATTGGAACGTTCCATGGGCAATTTAATAAGTATTAATATGTCTTCAAATTTTACACTACATAATAATGCAAATAAATTTTTACTTATCATTTTGGTCGCATAAATATTTATATAGAATACATATATGTATATACATATAATACATATATATATATATATATTCCGGTTTTTACAGCGGAGTGTGGAGAGTGCTTGATATATTATCCAAATGTCACTAAAGATTTCGAGAAGATTAATTTAGAGGTAATCGTATTAGAACAGTTATGAATGCTTCTATAATGTCGCGAAACTTAAAAAATTAAAGTGTTTATGTAAAGATTTACGCCCGTCTGTCCTACTTGAATAAATTTTTAAATAATGCTAGACCGAGGAATATAATAGTTTCTAGGATTTTGCGCGTGGACATTTGCGACAGGCAAGGGTGCCCTTATACCAGGAAATCCAAACAACGGTGTGGCAAAATGGAGAGGAAAACATTACGCCTTTAAATCGCCCGATGTAGCCGCTAAGTTCGGAGAAAACCCCGACAGGTATTCTTTTATTGTAAATAAATGTAATCCACAGAATCTCAGCTTTGAATGTTAATAGGTACGTTTACGACGCGCTTAATTTTGTCCGCAACCACGCGGAATATATCCACCTGTTCCAATTACATGAGGAAATCGTAGCCATGCAAAGCCAAGAAGAGTGAGTTGTTATAATTGTAATCATATTCTATTGCTTATTCAAACTCACGAGAAGCATATAAAAATATTTGCTTTTTAAGATTAACGGAAAAAGGATTGCGGTTAAAGATACGTCACGATCAGAAGGTTCAAACGGACGTTCACATACTTCCGCCCTACATTGATAAAGATTATACTTCCAGCGTTTGGGAGTTGAAACGTAGAGCATTACGCTTGGTAAGTCGAACTTTACTAATGTTGTAAAAAAGAATACTTGAACGATAAAATTTATATGTCTGAGAAACATAAAAAAAAAAACTGAAAAGTTCTGTAGCGGTAACAATTTTAAGAACTCTGTATTTTTTTTTATCTACCCGCGACTTTTAATATTTCGATGCATTATTATTTGTAAAGTTCTGACGTACTACGAGACACAATCGAATATAAGCAATATACATTACGCATTATTACACATATACAATTTATCTTATCTTTTCTTAGTTCTGTAGATGAAAAATACTAATTTCGCATACAATGATTTTTCAGGCAAACATAAGTCGATGTGCTACGCGCAGCACGCAGACATTTAATTCGCACTTTCGATATGGTGTTTATGTGCAAGCGGCTTCGCTTCAGGATAAAGAAGTTCAAACCAGAAGAGATAACTGTACAAACACTAAGAAACTCATGACGTTTATATTTGGATTACGAGGCAGGCGGGATGACAATCAGCACGTTGTATCGTTCTTGGAAGATGGGCTCGAACATTTATAAAATTTAAGTCGTCAGAGATAATTGGTAAACTTATATACACATAAATGTCTCAATAATACTGATATTAAATGAAGTAAATAGAAAGGCCATTTTAAGTGAATTATATATTTATATTGTAAATAATTAATCATATATATGAATGCATTTATTTGGAATATTATAGGATATATATATTGGGTCCAGTTAGGAAGTAATTAAAATAAATTACACACAAGACAGTTTAAAAAAAATGAAAGCAATACCTTTTTAATGACATTTCCAAATACATTTCACGAAACATTACAATTTAAATAATGTTTTTCTTTTTTAGAGAAACAAGTTTGTATACTAATTTATCATTCCGTACGCATAGCATTTCCCTTCACATATGTAATGCTTTCGTTATCGTAAACTGCAATGATTTCATTCGTGTGGCTTTCCTCGTGACTTAGGCCAGCATTTCTTTAATTTATATTCAAAATACACGAATTTTACATATGTCGAAGCTCGGACAGATGTATGCGATTAAGGGTCCGCACCTCGCGCTTCGTGAGCCTATTATTTTATTTCCTACACTTCAACAGCCAGTGGTTGCTGCACGCACTGTGACTTTTAATCATTTAATATGCTTATAAGATAGCTTTCAGTGAATATATTGTTTTACCATTAGATCTTAAACGTTAGATTCAATTTTTACACCAAGAAACCTATATTACGACAATAATTAGTAATTACACGATAATACAATTAAACTTTGCTTACATTTGCATGTGTATAATGTAGCTATTATACAGAAGAGGTACAGGATGTTAATTTTTCGCATAGCTTCTCGCTTTGTTTTTTTTTTTTAAACGTCCGCACATTTTTGTCATTCTGGAGGCAAAATCTGTCATTCTATTACATCCATTTTTCAAAAGACATAATTTCAATATAAAAAAAAAGATAAAGAATGATGACAAAAAAAAATAAAACTATCATCAAACTACGCACAATTCGTAGTAGATTTGCAGAAATTTATCGTTCGCCAGTACAACTGTCCGTATTGTTTGTGATTTGCGGTTCATCATATAGTGTAGTTCTACATATGAATTAATCGATTTGAGTTCCTTTGATTTCACAGGAAAAATTGTTTCATTGGCAAATCAATATGAATGATAAACATGTATACGCACTTAGCGAATTCGCCTGTTCATATCGCTCGCTAATCTCACGTGAATGGCGAACAGCAAATTATAAACCGCAAATCGTGCGTAGTCCGGCATTAACTTCACGAAATTCCGTACATACACGATTAATGGTTAAGATCATTGACAATAAAATACAGATATTTCCTTAGTACTCGAAATGTATTGAAAATAATTATATTACCAATGTAATATATGTCTTAATTGAAATGTTACGTAATAAAATTGAGCTTCTTAAATCTCAAAAAAATTACTTTCAAATTCAAACTTCGATTAGATTATCATTCAATAATGCCATTGCTATAATAATGCGCCATGTTACGTTGCATTAGGAGTAAGATATTGTTATTAATGACGACCATACAAATGATATAACATTTATTTTGAATTAGATGACTTAAAACCAGCTTATTGACTATTGGCCACTGTAATGTCATTCACATTTCGAAATCATCTGAACGTCCATGGTAACAATTGTCCCAATGTCAAAGAAAATTTGTAATTTACCTGTCATCCGAATGAATATGTCATTGAAAACGAGTTATTCCCAACGCATTTATTGGGAGTCATATTTATAATAATACAGGATCAATATATGATATTATAGTCATCAATGGGACAAAATAATTACAATGGGCGGCAGAATATATCGGAATGGTGTAAACATGGTCTAAAGTCTTAAGTCGCAAGAAATACCTTTGTGTTTCATGTATAGTATGTATGTATCGTGTGAGAAAGATGAAGAGGTGCACGAGACGCACCTTGGAATATGTTATATATATATGTATATAACTTGTCGGAGATCGGGATTGAAGAATGATTTAATCTACAAAGTGATTTTTGAGGTATTTCATCATACCGAAAGTTCTGAAACGCTTTACTCCGATTACCTTCATTAATTCCTCATCACAAATCGCAAATTGTTTATTCTTAGGATCCTGTAAAAACAGTCATTTTCTTGATAACATAATCTTTCAAATATAAATACATACATTTAATATATATATATATAATTTCTAAGATATAAGAAAAAAAGTAAAATAGAGAATGTTTAAGTATAAAAAAATATTAAATAATTACAAATACTTACATAAAGATTCCTTTCCTTGATGATACTCCATACTTTCTTCACGACTTCATGTCGAGCCATTTGTTCCGCGCCAACAACCGCGGCGAGTTCTGGAGACAGTGTTATAGCGCGTGTGTAACCGCCACCCTTGCCTTTGCCACCACCACCGCCACCCTTCTTTGCTGTGCTTCCTGGGGCTTTTTTGTTTTTACCCCAGTCCTCATCGCTGTCACTGTCGCTACCCTTCTTTTTTCCTTTTTTTCCAGGCTTACCTACAAAAAAAAAAATACATATTAACACAATCCATGAAAGATTTTTAATAAAATCTTGACAGAAAATAAAACTATTACAATAAAATATATCCTACTTTTTTTGGGTGTAACTTTAGGTTTCTTTGGACTGTATTCTTCGTCGCTAGCATCATCATCGCTGGCGCTTTCCTCATCATCGGAGGATCCCTTCTTGCGTTTGTTAGGAGCCTTCTTAGCCGGATTTCGCTTGGCTGGTTTCTTCTCTTCTTCTTCCTCTTCCTCTTCAGATCCTTCCTCCTCTTCTTCTTCACCATCTTCAGACTCTTCACTAGCAGCCTTCTTTTTCTTCTTTCCTCCATCTTGCTTCTCTTGAAGACATTCCATGACTAAATCATCCACTTCTTTTTTCCTATAAAAGATGAATGTAATTTGTTATCTTATATGTATGTAATTATTGCGAGAATAATCTGTAAGCTGAGATACGAAAACGTGTCAGAGGAGGAACGAGGTGGTAACTTATATCTATTATGCAGTTCCACTCAGAGAAATCCTCTTTTTTTTCTCTAGGACACCGAGAGACTCTCTTGTGCACAATTTTATAGTGCACAAGTGCCTATTATATGTCCATTTTGGTCGAGTTTTTTGTTCAAAGATAATATAATTAATAAAATAAATTACATTTTATACTGAAAGATAACTCTGCCATAGTAATACAATCTGCATGTCACAAGCACACATAATAAATTATCAAACCGAAATTGATAAAAGAATGATTCGCTTCTCTATTTAGAAACACGTCTCAACTTGTGTAAAAAGATATGCAGAACCAGATTACTTTATACTGAATGCTTGCACACACATGTAGTTATGCATTCAGAATTCATATATACTCTTTATTTTATTAATACAATTTATACTAAAAATTAACTCACATTATTAACACGATGAAATATTGTTTTATAACATAAACGTATTCAACCTGCAATGATATAAAGGCAAAGACAACGAACAAAACAGTTCGAGTTATAATCACGACGAATAGTCTTTAGAATGTTGCAGCATTAACGTGAGCAAATGCGCTTGTATATCGAGGAAAAATATTTTGTCACGTCGTGTAATATGAAGCGACTTGGTATCAAAATTAGCGCTGTCGCTTTTTCTTTACGTGCCGTTATACGATGATTGTCATATCTTATCGTATATCAAAATATAAAATGTAAAAATATTTCTGTGATCATATTTCATCCAACATGTTACATTTTTTTATCTGCTGCTTACCTTTCTATGAGGTCAATATCGAGTTTTTCTTCGATTTGTTGCCTCACTTTCTTAGCAGACATCGTAGTGAGGTCCGCATCCTTCAGGATGGCTAAACAAAATTAATAAACACGATATAAATGCACATTGCAATTATAAAATGTTAAAATATTCATTTAAAAAATCGAAAAAAATCTGAAACATTTTTAAATACAATATTAAATATTAATTTATGTATTTCATATAATTCTTGCTTAAATTTATTAATATTAATTAAAAAATATAACGCACAAAGTTTTTATATACACTTTATTCATCACAATTTTTTTTATATTCTAATTTTTTTTTATTATTTGGGAAGGATAAGGTGCTAGAGAAAGAGAAAAATTACGATTTAAAGTACAAGCTCGCGTAAAATGGTTTACTTAAAAAGAAATAAAAAAAAAGAAAGATATCGCCTCGCCGTTCATTCCCCGCGTTTGCGTATACGCAGTGATACTGGGATAGTTTGGTTTCCCGCGTTGGGGGGATCTAGTGAGTATCGAGCGCAAATGGCCGCCGTGGCGCGCGCCGTGCCGGTCGCCGGCGCGCCGATCGGAGCAGAGCGACGCACGACTATAATAAAAAGATATCTGTAAGTACGCGACGAGGCGTCGTTGCGACGCGTGGAGCGAGACGCGGAGGGATTTTTCTTCGCGTGCCGCGGTCGATCGGGCGGCGCATTGATTTCCGAAACGATCGAAAACCGCGAGAAGATGGAAGGGACAGGTAGGAGAGACAGAGAGAGCGAGAGTAGAAGGCAACGGAGGAAAACGGAGAGGATGGTGTCGGCTCGGTCGCGCGCGCGCGCGCGTTGTTCGCGCTCTCGGTCGATTCGCGACGCTCGCCGAAAACCGTTCACGAAAAAAAATACGCGGGCGCGCGGGTGCGCTCGCGCGCGCGCGTGTCAGTAGCGCGCGCGCTTCGTTAATCATCAACCGTTGCCGCTTTGTAACTCGCAAACGGGCGAGATGCGGGATTTGTAATGGCGAGGGACGGGGGCTTTGCGTCGGGAAAAGATAGCGAACTGGCGAATATCACGACATATTAACTGCGACGATGACGACGGGCAGCGGCGGCGGCGGAGGCGGGCGGCAGCGGCTCCGGTTATAACCAATGACGATCCATTCGGCGATACGCGAGAGAGGCGCGCGAAGGAGGGAAAAAAAAAGGGCAACGCGCGCGCGTGTACGTGTGGTCGTTTCCGATCGACGGCGGAGCGTAGTTCTTTCTCGAAGGAGCTTTGCACAGGAATATACGCACTTTTTTTTATCTCCCACGGCGTAAAAATCCGCGGTGACGCGGTGCAGAGTACGAGTAAGCGAGAAAAAGTGACGAGAGCGAATGCGTAAGAGAGAGAGAGGGAACGAGACACGAATACGAGAGCGAGGCTGATAGGCGCGCGCCACCACACACTCGAGACGCGTCATACGGCCCGCCGCAAGGACGGGGCGAGAAAGCTATCTTTTTATAGCGAACGACGAAAAATCCGTACTTTCGCCAGGGCACCGAAATGGCTGGTCGAAAAATCGCGAGCGGATTGCACGCGGCGGCTACTCGGCCGATTATTCCGTTAATCCGATACGTAGGTGGTAAAATACGGCGAGCCTTACGGTTGTAATGGCCGGCGTGGGGCACGCCACTCGGGCACATACGTGCGCGCTAAAGTCGTCACGTCGCAAGAGCAAAGACCCCGATTTCGCCTGTATTCCCGGTGCCGCGGCGACGCGGAACGGGCGCGAGTGCCCGAGCGTAGACGAATTCCGCAACAATCCGGCCCCGAAATTGCCTACATCGCGCGATATCGCCACTTACCGGTGATCTCCTTGCGTAGCTCGTCCTTCGAGATATCGGCCATGGTAGATGCTACTCGCTATACGTACTGCTGCTAACTGAGCCTACGCCGGCTACGGACTCCCGTAGCGTCCGTTGGTACAGTCCGCGCCGAGAGCGCCGCGATACGCGCCCGGCCGACGCGCCTACGAATGCGAATAACTCGAGAACGAACGCACCGAGACGAATACTCGATACACCAAATCGTGTTAGTTTTTTACGACCGACAAGTTTCTCATGACGCCCCACGCGTAATTCGGTGATCGGAGTATGCCAATTCGCAGTTCCTCCACGTCGCTCCGGCCGTACTTTCCCAGCTGACTGTCCATGAAGCGGCCGCTCGTGGCTGCCGGTGGCGTCCACGGTACAGTCCGCGCGTGCCCCTGCACGGCGGTCGCCCCGGAAAAAGGAGCTTCGACGTGCGATAACTCCGCAACGCGGGCCTGAAAACGGATACTATATACACCAAATCGGGCCAACTTTTTTTTCTCTACAAGTTTCCCATGACGCCCCAGGCGCAATATTGCGATTTAATCGACCCGACTCGCGTTTACATCGCTCGTGCCGCGCGAGCTTTTTGTCGCCGACTGTACTAGCATACTCCGAGTTTCGTAGCGTCGAGCGCCTCGTCGCGTCATATGACAATCGGTCCGTGCTCCGGGGATATAATTAAAATGAAATAAAATAAAAAAATGCAGACAAAGATCCCGATAACGGATGATGTAATCGACGCAGAAAATACGGACGCATTATTTTTTTTCGTCGTCACGAGCGTTTGGATGTTTCGTACGATTTGCTTAATTAATTCTGTTTATCCAACTATATCGCGTAACCGCTCGCAACGTTTAACGGTCATCTTGAGGTAAAGATGCGTATATGCACGCACGCGACAGCGGTGCGTATATACAAAATGGTAAAATTTTTGACTCCATTACGTCGCCGCCGATATATCTACTCGCGTCCCAATTTCTCGCGTATCGAAAAAGTCATCCTCCTGAGCGTAATCGCGACCAATCAGCGGCAATATTTTAACAGGCCGCGACACGGTAGGAACGACCACTCGGTTTCCTTCGTCGTGTTAGCGGTACAGTAACGCCCGAAAGTATCGGCGTGGCCGTCGCGATAAATGAACTTTGGAAACGGATATCTCCGAAACGGTGCGTCGCACGGCGATACTGCCGTCACATAATCGTGTCAGTTTGGCACGAGGAATATCTTTCTCATGAAGCCCCTTGCCCGATTCTCCCTTCTAAGCGGTCCCTGCCGCCCGTCCGCCGCACGTGCCGACGTTACTTTCGGCGCTGACTGTATTGCATTCGGCGCATCCACTTGCGAGTGTCGAGCGAGTCTCGGGGCCGAATCGTACGTCGTATCGTAGATTTGCCTTGTAACTCACTCTCGTCGCGGGGATAAAGACGATTTTCCCCGCGAGATGAGCGCTCGTGTCTCTCCCACCCCCTCCCCCCGCCCGCGCCGCCCACGGCCGCCGAGCGTTGTTTACCGACGATGCAGCGTAACCCAACGTAAATGCCGCCATTGGCGTTTGAATGTTCCAACATGGCCGCGCCAATCTTCGCGGATGCACCTGGCCACGCGGCACCGTCGCCGGCCATAACGGCCGCGACGACACAATATCGGGCGGCTCGAACAGACGCGACGAGTCGCGTGCGCTCGACCGGCTCGCAGGGATTTCGACGAGACCGGCTTGACTCGCGGAGATAACGTATTTTCTCTCTGAAATTATTACTTTCCCTCTCAATTCACACGTCATTTCCGGTCATTCTGGGCGGTCGTTAACAGTGCCCGCACGAACGAACGCACCTTCGCTCGTCAGGCCGCCTAATCGAATGTTCGAGAAATTCATGCGCGAAATTTAATCGCGTTTTGCACGAGACACGGTCATATTGATTATCGAAACGGGGTGCAAGATAGGTATTTTCGGTTGCTGATTTGTCTTCAAGTTATTGACATTTTCGCATTATTTGGAAGCATGCCGTGCTCTCTGTTGACGACGCCGTGTATTACGTCCGCGTAACAGGTGTAGCCGGAGCGAGCAGGATGGAGCTTGGGTTAGGCTAGTCGGCAGGTGACGCCGGTGGGAAGCGGTAAATGTAATTGTTATTTTGAGCGCCGTTAATGTTGCATTCGTTAATCTTGTTATTATTAACAAGTTGATCGAGACGATATATCTTAGACATTTTTTATCGAAATGACCTTAAAATAGAAGCGATCTTATGTTTTATATGATATTACTTTTCTTTCGTATACAATCTCAAGGGTATTCGATTATTCAAAATTTATCATCAAAATTGAAATATGTTAATTATCGATTAGATATTCAGCAGTCAAACTGGCACATTCTAGCGATGAAATAATAACGCTAATTATATTATGAATATTAATTAAATGTAATTGTAGTAATTATTACAGATCTTAAATCGAAAGCTAGATTGTCAAGTGCTATATTTAACAAATAATATAAATTATGTAAGAACATATCTTTTAAATTATTTCTAATGTGCCCATGGTAGAATCATTTTCAATATAACATTTCCGATCGCTGCTAATATTCTTCTCTGCATATCCAATTGTCCATTCGATTAAATTGTATACGATATGAGTCGACGAAAAAATTATCCTGTGTCGACATTTTATTTAACTTTGAGGGTAAATGGATTTCAATTCCGCGCGGTATATAAGCGAATTCGTGACTCGAGAGTAGATAAGTTACCGATGCTCGTCGATCTCGCAGAAATCTGCAGTTGCGCCACGCCACTGTCCGCCTCGCCGCCGGATGTCGCCAGTGTGTGCGCGTCGGTCCGAATTTCAGGTTTTAGAATTTATTGGACGGCGGAACGGGGGACGTGTATAGTTCTTGTATTATTATTGCCATTTCGTTGTACCATGACCTCCTTTTACAGCGCGCATAGTGCAGTCGTACTAACCGATTGTGAAAACATCGAGCCGAAATGCAAGCGTCAACGGACTTCTTCGTGAGTGATGCCACATACATTTCGATCCGAGTATTCGATTTAAGGAAACGCGACGCTTGCCCTTTTTTTGAGGCTACGTTTGTACGAATATAGTAACGGCAACGGTATAAAAGCAACCTCGTCGCGCTTTTGCATTAGCAGTATTAGTATATTTACTTCACTTTGCCATTTGTCCAAATGCCAACTTCAATTCCGACGATATTATTAATATTTATTACAAAAACTAGAACTGACAAGTTTTTTTTTTCCTAGATACCGCTCTATTCGTCGGTTCGTTTAATATGCGTTAGGATCGCGTAACGTTTCGGAAGGAAAGGAATCGCGAGATTAAGATCGCTCTCTCCTCGTGCGATCGACGCTCTCAGACGAGCAACTACGTTATTACAGATCGGAACGTGACGTGATGATATTATTAGGAGCTTTAACGTTAATTTGCTTCGTCAATGCGTGCCCGCGCGAGCCTCGTGCGGGGCGTGCGTTTAATACTACGCGGCAACAAATAGGGACACAGAATTATGATAAATTCTCGAGGAACACGTTGTTGCACAACTATGAGCTTGATAGTACAACTGCTGATCGAACTTAATTAGTTTGCCGTTCCACCTTGAAGCGGCGGCGTGACGACGATGTCAAGCGGCGTGATGCTAATCGTGCGCAAAGAAAAGCGCATTGCGATCACAATCTCGGAATTATTATTCTATTATTAATTATTCCTTGCAATTTAATTAACGCTATGCTTAGATATGCACGATTTCAATCATATTCGCGAGACATAAAACTTGATCGAATCGCGAAACGTTGCAACATCAATTCGCAAACATCGCGTAAAGTGTATATCATTTATATATGTATATATATATATACGTACCCCCCCCCCCCTCCGCCGACGTTCCGACAGACTTGTTCCGAACCGTCGATTTTATCTCCGTACTCATATAAGTTTACCGCGTTGTAAATCATTTCCGCACAAACGCAACGGTACCGAAAATTCGTGCGCGCGCGCGCGCGCGCGCGTGCGAGCCCTTCCTCTCCCCGATGCATTATCGGCTGTTTCCTTTATCACCCGGTATATATGCGAGTGGCAGCTCAAGAGCTCGCGATGGATCAACGTGAGCACGCGTATGCGCGTGTGCGTGTACATGTATGGCTAAATTCGACGTGCGTCGGAGCGGTTCTCGCGCCGAATGTATGTACCGTGCCGGTCGCGCGTTCATACACATACACATACACATGTAAATGTATGTGTGTTTGTGTGTGTGTGTGTATACCGTCGCGTATGCATTCACAGCACGCCGGTGTCCGACGCCTTGTCACGTGTACGTGTCAAAATCAATATTTGGCGTCACTGGGTTATGATAACGCCGCGGTGTGCGTGCCGCGCCCCCCCCCCTCGTCCTTCCCCTCTCCCCGTCTCCTTCCTCTTCTCCCCTTGTATGCATATATACATACATACACACGCATGCATGCATGGCATACGGCGTTGTGCACGGCCCGCGCACGCGAGCGGGCACAATCTGCCGGATTTCGCGGAATTTCCGCGTCGCCCTTGTAACGTGCGGCGTAAACAATGTGTACGCTCCGAAACTTTTCCCATCTCGGAGCGGCGGTCGCGCGTCACGTCGCGCGTTTATTGGACGTTTTTGAATCGCCGGCGCAGAGCGTAGCCCGCCCGTAGCCCACCGATGTATCTCGTCGTCACGATATAGAGTAAGGTACGATAGCAAAGTCCAGAGTGGCTTCCGACGTTTGTCACCGATGCTTCTGAAATTTCCTGCTGCGTCTGCCATCACCGGATTCTCGATCCTATGATGGTTTTTCGTCGATTCGCGACCGTTCGTCACAAATGACAATACGCGCGCTCTCAGAATCCGCTAATCCTAATTCCCGTGAACTGACCGGTCAATTAAATCCGTCGTTGCGTAACGACTGAAGAACTGGCTGCGAAAAGTCTACATATGTACGCTTTCTTAATTGGGCATAATTATGGAGAAAAAAAATAAAATTCTACGAAAAAGATGTTAAAGTTTTAAAAATATTTCGATATTTTTATAATCAATTTAAAATAACGTCACGAATTTGATACATTTTTTAGGAATGT